TATCCACTAGACTAGAGTATTATGACATGATTATTATAATTGGACGGCCAATAGCAGGGTTAGTGACGATTGTAAGATTGTTCGTATCGATTAGCTTGAGAGAATTGAAGCCTATGTACGTAATGTTCAAGTAAAGGTAAAGAAGCGTGCTACGCGTTTGTTTCAAGTGAGTTTTTCGATTACAAAATTTTGTGATGACGTCATCAACATTTTTGAACTGACACGTATATTAATTTAGACAGATGCAGTGTAATACTAATAACACTTCTGTATTCCCAAATTTTTGGGAAAATGGAGTGGTTCGTCCTTGAATCTTGATTTAATCAATCAAACAACGAAGCAATTTAATCATGTCTAGTAGCAGAGGTGCAACTGAACTGAAAAACATTTATAACTACTCGTAATTTAAGACAAAGAGTTGAACTAAACGAATTTTTCTGCGAATTGCAATAACAGGATAACAATACGATGGTCCAGACTTTTTTATTGTTTCGATTTCCGCTTATTAAATATAACATTGCATTTTATTTAATCTTTTCCATGTTGTAATTCACATTTGGTTAATTGTAACCTGGCTACGTGTAGAGGCGGCAACAATTTCTCTAGATACGGCCGTCTCTAGGGGTCATGAAACGTCGAGAAAATATGAAGTACCAAGTCATACGATGGATTTGATTATTATACTTCCTTAACTTACACTCAATAAGTAAAATGGGCTGTCAGCAATGATAACAACTTGAAGTGTTTAGACATCGCAAGAATGTCACGTAGAAATTAGGTTAATTTGAATGAGTTTGTCGCGTCAAAACAGAGGATTACAATTATTAATTAATCGTACAAAATGTTCTGAATATTATTATTATAATTCTTATTTAATCTTTATTAAATAAAGACATTCCTATTTCCATATTTTCGAGAAAATGCGCATACGGCAATTTTCCAAATAATAGATATCATGTAATAAGGAAACAACCTCCAAATTTTTACGAGCACTTTTAACTTTTAGAGATACTGTTTTCTTAGATATATGAGAAGATGCACCAGTAGCCAATACATTTTTCAAGTTATTAAATTTTACCACTGGTTTTATCCATAAATTTTATTACTATACGATGTTTACTTTCAACCATTTCAAAAAATAAACAAAAATGATTTGGTCTGTGAGTTCTTTAAAACAAACTATAATGATTGACAGTTCAGTGCACTATATTGCAAATAATATTAACGTAATATGATATATGGAGATTACGGTTTAGAAGGCATAGAAACCTGGAAGCCACTATACTTTTGGACCTACCTATATAAAAGATAGGAAAAACGTTTAGTTTTACTTGTATTCCCTACAAATTGTTTAAAACAGACATTTCGTATATTATAAAACTTATAAAGTTGTGAACATCATTAGGCGTCAGTCTACAAATGTTTGCATAATTTTTATGAGATGATATACCTACATATTTACTTCTCTGCTAATTGTTTTAATATTGTGAAATTTCTGAATAATGTGTTTTTTAAAACACTTCTATGAATATTAAAATATAATTCTGTAGTAATTTATCTTATAAATAAGTCATTCGAAACCACTGAATAAATGCTACTTTTAAATTAACGATAATATATTTTAGCAAACATAAATTTACATATTGATAGAAACAAATGTTTCACACAGAGATACATTTGTATAAAATTCGTAAAACGTTTGTATTTGACAAAACAGATTAGCGATGTAGGTATATAGAATCTGAAACGACAACCATACTATAACTTATTTTATCTTAGACATTGGACAGAACCTATTAGAGCTGAAATCGCATACGGCAGGCAGACTATTTATTTAACAGGTAACTCTGAAAAATATATATTTAAGATTAAACGTGCAGCCCCAGTCATCAACCTCAAATACATTACTCGAGTCTATTTCAGCAACTCCTCTGACAAACTGAAATAAATTTCTTTTCATAAGACGATATTTCATTAATTTAAGGGAAAATAATTTGTTGTACTTATATTCACGTCACAATTATGATCGACTGCTTTGATAACATGTTAGTTCACACGGAATGTCCTTGCACTAGGAATTAAAACACTTTTAAGAACTAAATGAGTTTTAATCAATGTACTTACTTGAACTTGTCGCTATTGTACTGGGAACTAATTACTTTGTCAAACCTTTTCATGAAATACTAAGTTTTTTTCATAAGAAAAGTACGAACTTTTAAACTTTATTGGTTACAACTCTCTTGTAGCAAATAGCTAGTAAAAGTTAGCAAAAGCATGTTTTTAATATGTAAATTCTACTGATCCAAGACGGGAATAAGCAGAGCTTATTACGAGTGTTTTAAAGAAATATTTACTGTTCGTTCATAGAAATCAACGACAAAACGCAGGCCACATTCACATCATTGACTGTCATAGAGCAATACCTGTAAAACCACAAAATGAACTACTTATGTTCATTTTATGGTAAAAAATTTTTTGATAACTGTTTTACTTAATATTCTTGATATAGCGGACAAAAATCAAACATTAGTTTTTAAAATAAAGGAATTCTGCACATTTATATTTTATCTGTGATCTGAGGTTGGGGTAATCAACTTAATTTATTGATACAAGCAGTGTTCGTTGAAATATAACTGGTTATAACTTTATTTTTTTAAGAGAACCTCATAAACATTTTACCATCATTAGATTCTTTTTATTTCCTGTTTTATAAAGTACGTTATCTCCTGTAGCTAAAATATTATCTTTTGGATGTTCCACTTCACGTTCGATCAAGCGACTGCGATAGGATGCGATAGTTCAAAAAAAGCTAAAGACTTGTTGATAGAGTGGAAAAATTTAATCTACGTTTGAAGATGTTCTAACACCCGTAAAATATGGAACGATTTTGAAAACAAAATATGAATTTCTAAAGAAAATCGTTCTTCAAATTGTGCATTTGGTTACGTCATATATGTACGGAATGAAATTTTTTTAGGGTGGACACTATTTTATTAAGTCACGCTCATCGTTGCAACAATAATAATTAACGAAACATGTGAACGTGAAATTTTAATAGTTTTCTTAACATTGCGTTTTTCAATAAATGAAGATTTTTGTAACAGTAACACCAAGTGATTAGTAAATCTTCCATGTACAAATACGTAGAAGAAAGGACGCTCACTCTCATTTGAATTGAAATCGGAAGTGGAAAGAGCTACAGCAAAATAAGGAAAGCGATGTTTCACATATAATATGGTTTAAAGCTAAATATGATTCTATAATTTTCTCTTACAACCATTACTTTTCTGTCGAAAGTAGGGTGAATCTTCGCACCTTCGTTCATTTTACCTACCGAGCATAAGCTAAAAAGTATTGTTAAAGGGTCATATCTGATTTCATATTTTCTCGTCAGTCTCCCATTTCCGTCCGTGAATGGGCAGTTTTATTAGAGATGACGTCAGCTCAAAAAATTATTAACTAAATATTTGTTTAAAAAATACGCTCTGTGAAGTAATATTGACTATTTTTTGAATTACTTGTACAGATTGTTCTCAAAAAAATTAACAAGTGAATCAAATTTATATACTTATCCCAGAAAACTGGGCGTATTTTAAGATTTTTAGTAAGACACTAACAGACTTTATTTTAGTAATTACAGTAAATTAAGAAAATTTTATTTATAGGTATATCCCTTACACAAATATACGACACCACGTCAAAAAATATAAATGCATATAAAAAATATGTGGTGAATGGAGATCTTACCTCCATTCTAATAATATGGTTTTAATGGTTTTATTACTTCTTTACACAGGATGTCCAAATATAATTTCCCTGAAATTCGTAAAACACAATACCGCTACTATGGTAATGAGAAATCGCAAGTAAATGTACATTGAAGAATACGCTGTATTACGCAGCCAGAATTGGCTGTGCTTCAAGGACGATAGAAATCCTGTGTAAATCAACTTAAATAGTCATAGCTCCCGCCGAGTACGTTTTTGATTTAATTTTCCAAATACAATTTTTGTAACGAATTTAATAAAAATCACGGGTACCCTATTTCGTTTCACTCGATATAAACAAAATCAAATCATATTTTGGAATTAAGTAGCATAATATAAAAGAATACTTCATGTACTGTATATAGAAAAACAAAAAAAAAAACGAAGACTCCTTAATATTTAAAGTTTCGCTGATTTCAAAGATCGATTAATAGAAAATCTAGAACTTCCTACCATATAATTATAACACTATAAGCACAAATTTATCATACCAGAATTACAATCAACGATTGCAGGGATTACAGTAATCACATGTTTATTATTCGATAAATTGTGGTCATAGTTAACAACTTCAATGTAGCAGAACCAGACGTACTGTGTCAATAGAAAAATGATAACAATGTTTTAAGCACATGCTCCCGAAAGTTCTAGGCTCGGAATCTACCGAAAAGCTTCCGAACGATGCGACGACGTTCCGGTTCGTAAAAAGTTCCACTCCGAGTCCTGCAAGTTGTTTAGGTTACGTTGAAAAAGGATGCTGCCAAACATTACAATCGTTTTATTGACAAAGTCCAGCTGTTCGTTTTTGAGTACGGATTATTTTTTACCGCTTTTATGTTAGATTTGAAACATTGTTGTCAAAAAATATACTTGAATTAGCATATAGCATTAAGAAACTAAAAACACGAATTTTCGCATGTTTTCTGTTATTTATTTGATGTATTAAATAAAATACAAAGATGTATACTGTTACAGGGAAGATTCTTTTCAACGTCTCGTCAGCGAAATTAGTTTTTTATAAAATGTCAGTAGTGAAATTCCGTGAATATCTACACAAGAGTATGAGAAAAAGACTTCTGTCACCTGACACCTGTGACAAATGCAGCCAATAATACTTTGATGTTGCTTTTTTCAAGTTTTCATTTATTATATCAAATGTGTTTTCGTTTTCCGAATCAGCAAAAAAGAAAGATTTCGGGCGCAGTGCGAATCTCGGCTTACCAACGGACTCACCTATAAATCATTTTGTCGCATTCAATCAAAGAGCATTTTCATGCGCACTGTGGTGAACTCGACATGCTTCCACAAAACACGTGGTACCGGCACACGTGGTAAAAAGCTCGCGAAGCGACCAACAGCAGACTCCCCGTCCGATGGATGGAACACAACTGCCGCGAGATCTCAACTCACTCTCCGCGAGTACAATCGGTCATCTTCGGAAACAAAAGACGCTTCTTCTTCTTCTGGGAGGGGATCACCGCGATTTATTCCATTGTTGCCCCATTGTTTCCATCCACCTAATTGTTGCGGTCAGAGCAACTGTGAACAGCGCCCGCCTGCGACAACAGGGTGCGTGAAAAGCACGAAATTAACTGGGGTTTCCTGCGTGCATGCTCCTCCACTGATCTTGTTAACCAAAGCGCATTATACTTGATTCTTATCTCTTCTGTACACCGAATGTCTTTAATCCCAGACATAAATAACAGGCCTGCGGTCTTTTTTTTAATAAATGGCGGCAATGTACGATACCGCGGGCCTCGAGTCATGCGTGCTGCGAAAATAACAAAAAATGTTGTTATTGACAGCGAGCTTCCATACTTTTTTTTATTTTTTGAGGCGATTTCGGGATGTACGATGTATGTAACGAAGTCCTAGATGTGTCATGTTACAGTTTTATTTCTTACGTATGATCAAATTTAGAAATTAAATTCTAAGCATGGACGACTGCTTTCGATCAAATGACCCTCATTTCGAAACTCTCAGTCGTTTCCTGCTGAGAAATTTTCGTAGTATACAGAAAATTTATTCACTATTTCAAGTGTTTAAAGAATATTCCCATACAATAATAATAATAGAATACAGGCTGGTTGAACAAACGTTTGTTAAACGAAATACTGATGTCTATTTTTCGTTTGATTTATTCCTTATGCCGTTAATGCTAAATTAGTAGATATTTGAAAAAAACTAGTGATTATGAATGTTTATAAAAATCATTAACCACTTTGTATATTTAATAGTACACGCTGCGAGAATTGTAGCGTAGGTACTCTACTTTTAATTACATTTTCACATTTTCAGTATGGTCTAGAAGGGATGCAAATGTACCTACACCTGTTATCATTTAAATAAAATAATCAAAAATATTAGGACAAAAATTATAATGTATAACATATAATACATACAATTTGAAAAAATGATCTAAGATCTAATTTATTGATACAGAACTTGCCTCGCTCCTGAAATACAGTAAGTACAACAAATCCAACTTTTTAGAAAAATTAGAGGATTTAATTTTGCGAATATGATAACCCTGTAAGTTAAAACTAAATTATGTATGTAATCTTAAAGTAAAGGTAAAGAAGTTTCAGGGAAATGTCTCCATTAACAAAATTTATGATGACGTCATCAACATTTTTGCAAGGACACATATCAGTGCAGTGTAATACTTATAATAACAATTCTACTAATATTCCCAAACTTTAGGAAAATGGAGTGAGTCATTCCCGATTCAATCAATAAAGCAAATTGACTCATTCTTTAAATTATTTTAATCACTCTGTATTAACAATTATAAAAAGTATGAATGCAGTGATAAATCACAAGTATAGTCTAATCAATCTGAGGGGGATAAGCAGATGCAGTTTATTTAAAAATTTAGCATGTTAGGATAAATTTAAAACGTTTGCGAGGTTTCAGAACATTCGGTTTTCCAGTTCCAAAATTATAAATTCCAAAATGTTGTTATATTTTTACAAAAATCTGACTATCTTGGGTAAAAACTTAACACGGATTCATATGCTACACGTGTGTATGTTATTTTATAAAATTTCAAACATACTTGGTATGTATAATTATAAAGTTACGTCATCATATTGTTGGTGTGGATCATTAGACAAAGTTTGGTTAGCGCTTTATCATCTACACGATATTCGTAATACATATAAGTATAAAGTTTGACAACAATTGGTTATCCTTCGGAGATTTTTTGACCAACAAAAATCGACACAGACAGAGAACAGGCAGACAGATAGACGGAAACGGGAGACATATGTTATCGCACTCTAGGAGTCATGACACATCGAGAAAACATGAAGAAGCCATTCGTCCGATGGCTCCTATTACAATGCTTCCTTAGCTTACGTTTGTGAAGTAAAAGTAAGAAGCGTTATAGATAAATTTGTCGAGATTCGAAATTGGTAAGAAAATACCTAATAATGCAGGCTCTAATAAAATTAAGAAAATTTTCAAACAAAGCAAAGTAATGAGTTTTGGTTTGTGTAAAAATAAAACTCATAACTTTGTAGACAACAGAGCGTACTCGAGTGATGATGAATTATTACGTTCTCCACCATAGCTTCACTCAACCAGTGTACCATTTCTGCATTTGTGTCTCAATATGTTTCTATTTGTATACCCGTTAAAAACAGATCTAACAGTCCACAGTACTTATCACATGTTTTCAACTTATTATTATTATTAATATTATTATTACAAATCTGTAGCAATGATATTATGATGAGGAACCTTAAAATAACAAGAAAAATACAACAAATTTAAAAACTAGTATGTTATGTTTAACTATGTCAAAAGTTCTAAAATATCAAATTCACTGGACGTTTTAATACCTCTAATTTATAAAAATATTTCATTCAATTTCAACGGTAGTGCAAATTGAATGAAACAAAATCTATTAGAAATCCTCTGAAAAGATGGATTTCACATTTTACTAACTACGTAATACTTTAAGATATTTTGTATAGTTTAGGAAATATCCTATAAAATTTTATTGACAATAACGAGACCCACGTACAATGGTAAGAAATATTTATGCTTCACACCAGTTAACCCGAATTTATCCGACAACATTTAGCAGGTAGTTGTACTCGTAAAATAATGCTCATTTTCACGGGACAACTTTAAGTTGTAAATATCTCTTGCTATTGTACTACTGTTCGTCTCGTTATTGTCAATAAAATTTTATAGAGTATAACAATATTTCCTAAACTATACTACTTCACGAGGTGGATGCAGTGTGTAATCCTGTGTAGCTGAATATGTCGAACCACATTTTTTAATTTCTCGGTCTTGTAAAGTCATTATTAGACAGCGGATTTCTGTCGGGCTACGTCACGATTATAGGTGGGGACGCGCTGCATCGCCGGGACTCAGTAGCGGGTGATAGGTAATCACTGAATTTAATTGTCACTTGATTCCATAAATACAATTAACGATTTATTAATCAAACGGCTAAGTAAATGAGAACTGGAATTAACAGCAGACTGCAACGCAACAGCGTTATTCTAATCTCAAATAAACGAAGTGCAGCCGGTAACTGCAATGAATTCCCATCCCGTACGAGCCGTACCGAGTTTGGCCTTGTCTAGCCCGACAGAAATCCGCTCCCTAGTCATTATCAACATCAGTGGTTTCTTATTAAATGAGACGTGTCTGTAAAGTGTTTTTAATACAGAGTGGTAAAAACTTACATTTTAAAGAAGACCTTTTTATAAACAACAAAAACCAGAAATGGCGCTACAAAACAAAACACGCCTCATTTCTACAAATTCGATTGTTTACTTATGTTAAATATTTGTTTTACTTTTTACCATGTTATAATTATTAGTTATTACATATTTGTTTTTCTGAATTCTGAGTTTTATACAATTTTGAAGGCGATCATTAGTACACAGTGCTAATCCCAATAGGCTATTATCCTCGTTATTATATCGAAAATATTACTAGGACTAAAATCCTAGAAAATGACATCTTATTGGTTAAAAATTAAAAAAAATCTTCGGCATCGTAGTGTTAACATTGTGTTATTGAATTCAATGATTTGATAAAGTATCTCTTCGTCATAAAAATAATCTAATTTCAACAATAAAACTGAGTTAAAATATACTGACCACCCACAGCTGCTTAGTGCACTGTATAACATTATTTTGTACTTATACAAATTGTTTGACTTTATTGTTGTTTCTGATGCTTCAAAAAAAACCGAAAATATTATAATGGTTAATAATACCAGCCCAGTAATATACCACTCTTGAAAGAGTTAAATCTATAAAGTATAAAATGTAAAAATAAAGGCTCTGAAAAGTAATAAGGGTACTACTTATTATTAAAACATGTGAGAAATTTTTGTTTTGTAAAAAAATATGTCACCATCATTGTAATTTCACAGCCGTCAATGGTTTATCATCAAAGATTGAGGGTTGTGATAAACTTATTTTTAATTATAGTTATTGTTTTATAAAAACATTTAACCATAACATTATTAGACGTTTGCATTTTCTACAATAACACAAAGTAGTTTCCGATTATTTACAGAAGTTTTTATGATTTAATAGGGCAAAATTTCACTACAATGCTAAAAATGTGTAACATTGCTAACAAATCACAGAAATAAATTTCTTCTACAAAGTGCACTAAAAAGTCAAATCATGAAAACAAATTCATAACAAGGTGTAAAAACTGTAACTGCATTTTTTTGTTGAAATGTTGAATCCAATTAATGAAATCAAAACTGATTATTTCCACTCTGAAAATTCTCCACAAAATTGGAAACAAAAATTTTATCAGCCTATGACATTGTAGATATCAGTTATAATAGCATCACAATGTTATCGATAGTTTTAGACAACAATAATTCTAATGCTTTTTGCATTGGAAACTACGCGAGTGCTTTAGCAGAAATTATTGTTATGAAAAATTATGGATTTCATTGTGATTCACGCAATAAATTCAACAGATTATTGCACAAACAAACATATTAAAGATGATTTTTAAATGATTTATAAAGTAATCTATTGTGCGATACCATAGCGGCAAAGCGTAAATAAGGCTAGTGATAATTCTTGCTATTGATAATTGCATAGGGAGCAATTATCGCCTAATTGTATGCTGATTGGTTGAATTTAGAAATATTGACACGTTTGATTGGTCTGTTCACATCATGTGAGTGCAATTATCACAAAAATCAGATAAAAAGATCCCTTGCTATCATACCTATCTGAATTAAAAAAAATATCTTCCTGAAAAATTTTAAATCTTGACTTCGTATGTAAGGTAAATTGGAATATAATCTAAACTATTTGTCATACAGATTCGTTTCTGTCATTTTCTATTCTAGTAACGTGTTACAAACCAGTCATAAAAGATACTGCAGTCTAGAGCATGAATAAGATTT